TCTTAAATCTCTGTAAAGCTTGTACCTATGTGAGGGTGAGAAGAGCTGTTTGTCTTTCCAGTACCCAAAAAATGAAGTACCCTTTATTCCTTGATGGCTAACTCACGTATTTTCAGGCAGAAATACCTGAAATTAGGTGGAATTGCTTTTACATAGCAATTTGTTGCACAGAGGCTGCATGGAGCAAAACCAGCATCTGATGTTGTACATTCTCTGTAGCAGCAGATGAAAGAGGAAAAATTGAGACAAAATGGAAAATAGTGAAGGGTCACTTTTGTTGGGCTTGCACAGAAAGAGATGTCTCAAGAAACAATGTGTACTTGTGGAATAGAAGGAATCTGCTTTCTGGATGCTAAACCTGGGTGGTATACTGACATTTAGTAACTTAGGAATGCAATAACCTACCTGCACAGGTAGGAATGTAGCACAACAGTTGTCTAACAACTGGAAATCAATACTATGGTAAATACTAATCTCTTAAGAAGAGACATTATTGTTACAAAAGAGGCAAAAAAAAAAAAATGTTTTGGGCAAAATTCTGTATCCGTTTGTGCATCTAGCTGTGTCACAACAAAACAGCAGGCATGGAAGCTGCTTCCCCCTCCCTTTGCTCTCCAGCCTCCTGAGCCGCCTGCTGCTTCAGTGACATTTCTTTTACTTATAGTGAGCATAATGGATGCAGGGGCTTGGTACTGGGATCAGTGAATTTCTCAGGATGGCTTCAGAAAGACTTGGATCAGATGTTCATGAGCTAGTGGCTCTATTTCTTAGCAGAAGTACGGTAGCAAAATATTACAGTGAAGTTTCCTAACTAGTAAAGCTGCTCTAATGAGTTGTACTATAGTATACGACAGTGCAGTGAAAAAAAAGGGAAAAAAAAAAAGTTGTACACAAAATTATCCTTGTTGAAAAGAGTGAATAGAGAAAATATAGGATAGAACAAAACTCCCTGTAGCTTATATAAAGTAATTTAGGAAAAGCGGTTTGATATCAGAGTTACTAATATCAGGCTCCCCAAGGTTTCTTCAGTCCTCCTGTAAATAAAATGAGGACAGGTTTCAGTCCAAGTGAGCTTCAGGATCATGTCCAGTACTGATATTTTACGCACACTTTGTTTTGTGCTGGTGTACACAGGCTCTAACAGACTTCACATCAGGCTGAAAGCGTTCAGCCAAAGGAGAGGTGCAGTTAGTTAGCTCTCTCATCTGCAGAACATAGGGGAAAGGCAAATGGCGATATCGAGGTGTTTGCGAGGGAGGTAGTTTCTCTAAGCGAGTTACTCCATGCTTTGCCTTGCAGAAGCTGATCTCAAGGTTTGTAGCCAGGCTTGCAAATGTGCAAGGGAGGCAGAGCCCCTGCCTGAGCGCCACACACTCCTTCCTGAGCCTTTCTCTGCAATTAGGCAGTGCTGGGTGGCTACGTCTGCCCTTTATTCTTGTCTTTCTTTCTCCTTTTAATTGTGGCTGGAGCTGCAATCTGAGCAGAGTGACATGGGGAAGGCCTGATCCCTATTCTGACCTGTTGAAGACTGTGATTGTCTAGCTAAAGGCTGAAAGGACAGTACTCTGCAGCGGGTCTCCTTGTTTGGTGGAAATGGTTGAAACTCTGCCACCTAACTACCAGCAAAACACTGGTGCTATTTTGAAGCACCTTTTATTTTCTATTTAATTAGATAGATATCTGCAGATTTGGGGACTACCTTTTTTATTTCTTCCAGAATCTTCTAATTGACAAAAATAAGACCTAAAAACATATATATCCCTGCATTACTAAATCTATCTAAAAACAAAAAACAAAACCTGATAGATTTAATATATTTTAGATAGCTTAAGCGGTACATACTGTCTTACATATGACAAGGTTTCTTAAGCTTTATAAATTTTGTTTGTAAGCTATTAATGAACAGTGCTTCAGTAATGCAATGCAAACATCATAGCTAGAATGGAAATAAACACCTTATTTTCTTGGCAAAATTATCATTACCCTGTGCAGAGGAAAACCCTCTGTAGTTGTCTTTGTTGCCACCACTGCTGCACTTTCTCCCCAAGATAGCCCATTGTTTGCTGCACTCCCTCAGCAAGCTTTTTGTAGGGCTTCTGGATGCTGGAACTTCATCTGATTAAATGCCTTGTACAGCACCTAACAAAATTAACTTCTTACCCTGAACAATGCTACCATGCTATAAATACCTAATGAGAAAAGGGCTCTCGTAGTGTCAACCTGGAGTATTCACCCAAAGTTTTGTAGAAATTTCTCTGTATTGGCACTGAGGCGATGCAGTCGGGCTTAAGCACAACAGCTCTCTCACCTTGCCTTTTGTGGCATGAGAGAAGGACACAATGGTTTTGGACTTATTTCTGCAAAATTTGAGCACTCGTAATTCCTGCTTACATCAGCAGGAGAGGAGAGCACGCAGCTCCTGGCACTAATTTCTGCCCTGCCCAGAAATTAACTTCAAGAGCCTCAAAATTGTCATTAAAATTCAATTGTTTCCCTTCACATTTACACATCCGCCCCTGGAAAAACAGCCATTGTGTAACTTCTGCCCCTCTCCCTGGAGGTGTTACCAGGAGGTTAATTCACAACGGGGATGGGAAGGTTGTAGCACAAAATGTTGACTGAAAAGAGAGAGGCAAGAAAATGAGCTTACCTTCAACCCCTCTGGCTCCAACACTGAACTATGTAATAATGTGAGTGTAGGATTTCACTGCTAGATTTTCACATTGGTTCTGCTCCTGTCTTGGCTACCATGCAAATATTTATTACTTTTTATTTTATTGCTGTTGCTTTATGACATGACCACTTGACCACTATATCATGAAAAGAATGCAACAATGCAACTTTTTTTTTTTTTTTTCAATTTTTTATTTGATTAGATGTTGTAGATTTTCTTGGTTAATAGGTCCCTAGCTAGTATAAACTGGTATGACTCCACTGATTTCACTAGAGCTACATCAGCTTTCACCAGCTGCGTGCCTACTTTGTAGTATGTGGCTCTGACCAGCTAATTACTTTACCATAACACAGTATTCATATATAGTCATGGAATTTAAGGTTCTGACTGGTGTTAGGTAATTAAATGTAAATAAGTGTATTAGTCTTTAGAGTACAATCTTTTTCATTTTTCTCACTGTTTTCTATCACAAAATAAATAAATAAATAAATAAATAAATAAAACTGGTGTCCTCTCCTTCCCACTGGTCTCTTGGCTGCTTGCTAGGGGCCCACAGGTGTAAAACGAAGGATGGGTTCGGTATCAGCACATTTCACTTACGGCACTAGAAATGAGCATCTTTAATGCACCAAATGAGCCAAATGACAGGGGAATGCTTCCAGACGGCATTCCAGGGCTGTGAAGGCAACCCAGGGACCTGTGGTCCAACAGGCTTTGTAACGCTGAACCATGCTGAGAAAGGCCTTCCTGCACGCTTCTGTATACCATTTTTTACCTACATCTGTCAGATCTTTGAAAGCACAGCTTTTTGTTTTGCCTGAGGATGTACTTAGGCATTCTGAAAAGTCAGAAGACTTGCTGAACTTTGAAGGCTAGGGACTGTAAATGGGTGGCTAGCAGGGTCAAGATGGAGCTGAGGTACTTCAGACCAAAATTATTTAAGGTCCAGTATTGACATGATCATCTTCTGACTTAACAGGTGCCTCCTCTACATGAAGTCCTGCAGTCTTAGGGAAAACTTAGTTCATACAGTGTTGGGTTTCCATAATGAAGCATCACAGGTGCTTTCTTCTTAACTGCAACAGTATCAGTCCCTCTGTCTTTATATAAAACATAGCAATTAAAGAAATCAAGTTCAGGGATGAAGGGTTTCATGTTCCCTCTTCCAGTCTATAAACTATTCTATGTGTAGGCTTCTTCCGCTCGTCCTTTTGAAGCTCCACCATCAGCGTTTAAGGTTATTCAGGCCAAAGAAAGGGAGCAGCAGGGAGCATGACTGCAGCCTGCTGTGACAACACTGAATTATGTGGGGTAATCCTGGATCTCTGGCTTCCAGGACTTCTTTAGCATTCATACATTGAGAATAAAACACATTAATGGGCTTTTGAGAATTCCTGAGATATGACCTGGATCATAGATAGAGCCTAACTGCCATTAAACATAATACCTTCTTGGCAGCCATTCCTCCCATGCATCCTCTGCCTTTAAGATCTATTTTGGAGAGGCAAGAGGCATTTTGGAAATCTTGTAATCAGCTCCTGTCTACAAAGGAATCAGGCCCACTGCAGGCTGTTTTATCCTGTGCTTAGCATCTTGTATGTATGGCATGTGAAAGGGGAAGAGGGCTCAAACACCATTTGTACTTTAAATAATTGTGTCAGTGGTTACACAATCCATAATGTTTGTATTTTCACAAAATGCAGTGTTTGTGGTTAACTTCTAGAGAGCAGAAATGAGATACAGTTCTAGTATTGGTTCAGACTGTACCACAGCCCATCTGTCAAGGGCATCAGGAAAGGTGCCAGTGAGCATCATACAATTTGTCTGCTACATATATAGAGTATCAGCACTTGCTCGTGGCACTTTGGCAACTTCTATCTATGTCAAGCAAGACAAAGTCTGATTCCTTTACTCCTTAATACAGTTGGTTCAAGTTTCTCCAACACTTGGCTCAAATCTTGTTAGAAGTCAGGCTGCAAAAGTCAGGAGGTGAACTTTCTTATTCCGCGAGAACTTGGATCCAACATTAGGTGAGGGCCCCACCCTGATCCTGATCTCTGATAAATATACTTTTCAACGTTGCGTTACTGCTAGTGTGAGAGCCAAATGTCTACACTGATATTTATGTTCAGCCAAATGGAAGCTCTTTTTTTTTTTTTTTTCCTGATTTATAAGTATGTTATGTTTCACAGACATGAGTAACCCATGTGGGATATCTTTCCCACAGAGTAAAACCAATGTAAATTCACATGACTCAGGGATTTGTTTCAATGCTCGTGTATAAACTCTCATTAGAAATGATTACGCTTAAAGATCAAAAGAAAAGTACACTCGCTTGTATTAATGTTTAATGCATAATTCACATTGTTAGAACAAAAAACAAAACAGTCAGTGGTTGTTATGACAAATATTAAACATTGGCACTACTAACCAATTCCCAGAGAGGATCCTTCATTTCACGACACTGGCTGTGTGCTGAGATTTCCTCTTGCATCTATTACGCCATTGTCTCCGAGACCTCTGCATTTTAAAGACCTCTTCCTTCCCTACAGGGATCAGCAATCCCCCTGTACTAGCATGGGTAGGGCAGACCTGAGACACCCTCTCACTGCAGGTACCTCCCATTTCTGGAGAGCTCTCAGTGGCAGCAGTGTAAAATAATCTAATCCAGTTGTTGACACAAGTGTGATTTTAGATATGGCATGTTCCCGTATGGTCCAAAGCTCTCCTGGCCTTCAATCTCAGCCTACTTTCAGCCTTACTATCAAGACTAGGCCCATGTTCGCTGTTACTCAACACAACAGGATTAGAGCTTGATTTTTACCTTCCTTGTTCAATGCTTTCTTTCTTACCACAGAGCTTCATACTTAAATAAGCAGGCTAAGCATGAGGGGGGCATATGTGAAATCCATTCCCTGTATCCTTCAACCAATACCAGCACAGTGGAGCAAAACCATGCTCATAATCACAAATTGAGCTTAAGAAGAATCACATTTGCAGAATCAATGCCTGTTACATGGAGTAGCAGGGCTGCTCAATGTATATATAGGAAGATCCATGGGTACCCTCTGCCTTCCCACACCTTACAGTCTTACACAAAGTAATTTTTTTCCACATATCTTCATAGCATTTATTGACTTTTTCTATGCCAGTGTTTGAATTTGTAACGCCTAGCATTTGTATTTATGCTTCTCTTTGAAACTTTGCTGTTTTACTTGCTGACCTTACATCACTTTTTTCAGATCTATTTTTGTTTGTGGTTTTGTTTGAAAAAAAAGTTTGAAATGTAGGAGCCTTAATTCAAGTCAAAGAGTCACTGATCTTCCAAGGAAGGTCTGTGGCACAGAATGACATTTGAAGAGCTTTCTGCTTGACGTGAAGGTGCAAAAAAATTTCCCTTTCTCATTATCGTTTTGGTAATTTTCCTGTACACCAGTAGTGACACAATACACCTGATTCAGTCCTCCTGTACCCACCCATTCAGAGCAAGTAACTGCCTGAGACTGAGGTAGGCTCTTCCTGAATCAGGTCTCTAAACAAACTGCGAAATTAGCTTCCTGTTCCTGAGGTGCCTCCTGAGAGCCCCATTGTTCTGCAAGCCATCCTGTGCAAGTTTGCGAGGTTCCTCATGCAGGAACTAGTATTGTTGCATTATAAAGGGTGCTTCACGTAGACACTACTGCTTTGAATGGCATGTAGTCAAAGTACAAGCAGATCATGGCTGTTTAAGAGGACATAGCAGACCTTTGGGTTTTGTTTTCCTTTTGTTAACAACCTACTCAAAAAAATTATGATCAAGAACCCGGTATTTTCTCCAGTAGAGAGCTGACTGTCTGTTCCAACACAGCTGAGAATGTACTCAGAGTACGCATTGTTTATTTTTTTTGGTGGTGGTGTGGGTTGTGTTTTTTTTGAAGTGCACATGGAATTGCTGTCCTTGACTTGATCATAAGTGCATAGCCGTTGTGAGGTTTCTGTTAAGAAAGAAAAACCTTTAATGAATTAAATATGCCTCACAAGGAAAGAAGTAGGTCAAATGTTGAGCTAAATTAACCTTATGTTATATAGAAAAACTACATACATTGTGTTGTTTTCACGTGTGCAACTTTGGACTTGTCTACACACAAAGTTATTCCAAAACACTTACTAGCTACACTGCAATAATTACTCTCGACTAAAACCATGTGTGGACAAATTTTATGCCAGCGTAAGAATTCACTTTCTTGAATTCTCTTTATCCACTTTAGAAGTGGATTAAGTGAAACCAGGAAACAGCTCTGTCATTCCAGAATGAATGAGGCACCTGGGCACAGTTCTGCTTTACATTCAGACTCTACCTTAATCCAGCACAATTTTGCTGGGCTGAGAGGCTCTTAAGATATATCTACATAGCAAATGAACTTGTGATTATAGACATACCAAGCTTTCTTTTACTCTCGCTGGCGTGAGTAACAGCAGTAATGAAAGATGGTGGCAGACACTTCAGTGTAGCCTATTAACTGGAGCATACACGCAGGAAGCCTTCTGGTTGTGAACAACCTATGCTGAAATCCACCTCATCACGCCCTCACTTCAGATACTACGCACGTCCCTGTACTAATGCTGGGGTGGGAATGCCTCTCTACATCTCTGGTGTGTACACGCACCAAAAATTGCATATGCGATAGGACTGTGCAGCTGAGCTAAATGGAAAACAGGTGAATCTAACTTCAGAGGTTAATCACATTGGAGGAGACGCATGGCTCACACATTTTTAATATACACACCTTTGACAACCAAATAAAGTGTCAGATGTGCGACTACATAGGCCAAATTAAATATGCTGCAGACAAGCACAGCTCTGTTGATTTCATTGGGGCTGAATTTGGCTCCATAGGCAAGTTCTTGCTTATTTGACTAATACTTGTTTTGTTGCCTATCTGCTCATTTCTTGTAATGAAATTAATGCACTTTAATATTCCTTTCAATGCATTCCAAAAATGGCAATTTGATTAACTAATTCCCTTTTAAAAGTGTAACAATCACAAGTAAAATCTCCCTGTTATGAGAGGTATGGAACAACTGCAAATGGCATCTTGGGTAGCTCTGCCATAACCTTCATCTTTTTTAAACAAATTGCCCACATCAATCAGCAGAGCCTCATTTAAAAATGAATGGTAGAATACAGACAACAACCGGCGCTTTTCAAGTCTACCAAAAATGTACAGGTAATGTACCCTCTGCTCTGCTGAGCTCTGTTGAGACAGTATACTTAAGACAAACAAAAATTTAGTCTAAATGCTGCTCGAAACAATTTCAAAACAGAAACATTAGACAAACTAGTCTTTATAGCCAAGCCAGAAAGCACCTCGAGCAGCTTGGGTTAAAAATAAAAAGTACTTTCAATTTCACTCTCCTTAAAATGGTGCTTGAACTCCCTAATATTCTGAGAAGGACTTTTTACTTTTTTTTTTTTTTTTTTTTCTTTCCCCAGTTAAAAAGCAGTCTTTTTCCAGTGGAAATAGACTATCTCAACATTTAAAATAACAGCTGCTCCAGAGTACTGAGTCTGGCAACAGAAAAGGTTTATGCATTTATGCTAGTTTCTCCCTGACTTTATCCCCTGAAAAAAAACAACTGGAAGTGCAAAACCTGATTAGTAACAATATTAAACAAAGGCAATCTTCCCTTTTATTGTATTTAAATTAGGAAAATGAAAGTGTTAATGCTAATATTAAATATGAACAGATGTAGCTGCAAAAATAATTTAGTTTCAGCCCTGTTTTGTGCTCCTTTGTGAACTCCATGGTGCTAGCTAAGTGTATATTGCAAGTCCTTGTTAAAACAGGTGGCAAGAAATGCAGCATGGCATGGAGAAACTTGACTTTGGGCTTTCCTGAGCGCCCTGTGGTCAGCGTGCAGATGCAGTTTGGGATATTAAAAGTGTATGTATGTAACAACTTAGCTTTAGCTGAAAAGGCCCACAAGTCTGCGCCACCATGGATACCTAGGAGTGAGGCCTAGCTCTGAAAATAGACAAGTATGAGCACAGGAGTAAATCCACACATCTTAAGCTCCTGAATTCACATATACTTACAGGATTTCCCTCAAAGGAGTCCAAAACCCAAGGGAAGATATCCAAGCATGTTGCCAGCCCCTGCCCCTGCTCGTAACTATGCCCTGGGCACGCAGGTGACCATGCCGGTGGCAGCAGGCCTTATCTCCCTGCGTGGTGGCATGGGACGCTTTGGGACACGGCTGCACCCCAGCAGCAGCGCGTGAGGGTGGGCTGCACACCCCCAGCTCAGCCTGACACCATCTCACCAGCGACCTTCACGCCCTGGCCCACAAGGAGCATGACTGGAGCATGCATCCACCCGCGTACCACACCAGCCTATGCCGTGGGGGCTCGATGTGGATTTGGGGGGCCCGGACCTCATTTGCAGTGCCTTCGGGGTGCTTTATTTTTTACCCTAATTCCATTCCCCTCCCCGCACGGACATGGCGGGCTGGCAGCATGTGCGTGGCAGCGTGTCACCGGCCGTGCTGTCCCGTCTGAGCGCATCTGTGCTGCTGGAGGGTGGCAGCCCCGCCACCCTTATTTCGGTGGTTGTGGTTTTTTGCTTTTTTTTTTTTTTTCTTCCCACACCACCCTCCCCCCCCTTTCTTTTTTTTTTTTTTTTTGCGTGTGTGCTTTATTTCTCCAGGTGGGACGTGGCGGTGCCCAGCGAGGCTGGCCTGGCGCTGATCGTCACCCTGAAGGTAAAATGAAAGACAAAAAGATGAACGCATGCCTGCTCCCCCGCGCCCGCCACCATCGCGGGCCGGCAGCCCCCGCCGCGCGCCGGATTTCCTGCCTCGGCTTTTTTTTTTTTTTTTTTTTTTCTCCCTATCGTTTCGCCGAAAAGATTTAAAAATTATTTTTTAAAAAATAATAATAATAAAAAAAAAATACCCGCATGCAGAGAAACGTGCACGTACCCGGCAAACGAGCCCGAGCAAAAAACCCCGGCCGCTTCCCCCTTCTCCTGCCAAGTTATCATTGAGAAAACAGCCAGGCGGAGTGACGTCCCGGGTCAGGCCGAGTGCGGAGCGGCGCTACCAAGGCGGCAGGGAGGCCCGGAGCCGCCAGCGGGGCCGGGGCCGCGGGGCCGGGGCCTCCGCCGCCCGCCCGCCGCCGCCCTCCGCCCGCCGGGGCCGCCCCCGCCGGGGCCGCCCGCCCCGCGCCCCCCTCGCCCCCCGCCGCGGCTCCCCGCGGCCCGAGCCCGCCGGCGGCTCCCCCCTCGGCGGCGGAGGTCGCGGGAGCCCGGCTGGAGGAGGCGTGTGTAAAGATTTTGCAATGTCCCTGCATGGTGTTGTAGACTTTGCGAGCAAAGAAACCGGCTTCGGCTTCTTTGAAAGCCCCGGCGACTCACCTGACTAGCCTGCCTGCCTGCGGTGCCGAGCGGACCAGGTAACGCCGGGACCCCCCTCCCCCGGCCGCTGACATTGCGGCGGGGGCGGCGGGCGGCGGCCGGCAGCGCAACCCCCCCCCTCCAAAAAAAAAAAAAAAAAAAGAAAAAAAAAGAAAAAAAAAATCCCAAGCCTTAGGGGACTAGCAGCGGCTCCCCCCAAAAAACCCAAACCGTGGGCACTGCACTTGCCCCGAGTCCCCCCCCTCCCCAAAAAGCCGCCCCCCCAAGCCCGCAGCCTCCCGTGGTGTTGGTCTCTCGGGCAACGATTGAAAATTATTGGGGTGCGGGGGGTGAATTTTATGCTTTATGATTATTATTAGGGCATTTATTCCCCGCCCTTCCTGCCGACCCCGCAGGTCTCGCCCCCCTCCGTCCCCCCCCCCCCCTCCCGGCCGGGAGCGCCGGGGAAGTGAGGAGGCGAAAGGGAGCCCAGAGTTTGGGGCCGGGGTCCCGGGGTGGCGGCGGGCTTCAACTTTAACCCGGGGGGGCTGGCCCCGGCCCCGGCCCCCTGCCCGACCTCCCCCGGTCGCCCCGTCCTCGGGGGGGGGGCTGCGGAGGGGCGAAGTGCGGCAAGTCGGCGGGTTTGGAGGGGCTGAGCCCGGCCCAGGGGGTCTCTGCCCCCCAAATGCCCAGCACCCCTCCGCAGGCCCTCGGAGGTGTTTTATTTATTTTATTTTTTTTTGGGGGGGGGGTAGGCGCTGGGTCCGCGTGCTGGCCGCGAGAACCGGGGACAGGGCTGGGGAGCGGGGGGCGAGCAGAAAGGAGCCGGGCAGCGGGGAGGGCAGGTGGGTGGCAGCGTGGGCAGGGCTCGCCTTTCCCTCCCGCAGCCCCCCCGGGCCGGCCTGCAGCGGGGGGGCTCCAGGGCTGGCAGCCGAGCGCAGCCCCGCAGGCAGGGAGCTGACCCCACGCCTCACACCGCCGGCCGGGAGGGAAACCCGAGCGTCCTCTGCAGAAAACCACCCAAGTTTGCAGCGTTTAGGAGCAGCCCTCTCTTAAATGCGAAGTGCAAAACTTATCCGATGCGGTTTTTTATTTTTTTTCCTCCCCCCCTTCCCAGTTTTATTCCAGAGCACAAAATGTTCCCGTGTAGCACACATGCAGTCAGTCGCTGCTAGGATGGGAGTAGTTTCCAATCTAACCTACATTAGCTTATACATGGTGCGCGGGTTGCGTTTGCTCTGCAAATATGCCAGGGCTGAGAATGACGAAATGACTCATATGGTTGTGTTCCTCCTTGCCTCGAGAGTATCAAGGTGGCCCTTGTTCTGCGTGCTGGGGGGCTGGGGAGGGGAGGGGGCGGTTAATGCCTCCGCTGGAATCTGGCAGGTCTCCTTTTAGAGGACTTTCCAGTTTAAAATGTGCCAGGGGCAGAAGAAGGTAAACATGACATTCAGCGTGCTCATTATCAAAATAAGGAAAAACAAATCGATTGCATTAACTGTGTGTGCAGTATCACGGTTATTCCATAGTATTCCCCCTCCCACCCCCCTCCCCGAAATTAAAAGGTTGCCACTGGAGTGCTGTGTCCCTATCTCCAACCTAGCACCACTTATTACTGCAACGGCATTTCAATATTAAGTGATCTTGGAGATATTTCATCTTTCATTTTGAATCCTGAATTTGAATCAGCATTAGAATGTCAGGGCTGCAAGATAAGGTATAACAAACTAAGTAGACAGCTGAAGGGCTGCCGGTGAAGGTGCTGCTGAGAAGGATATCTTGGGCCGTTCGCAGTAACCTTGTTTACAGGGACGATTCAATTGCAACCTGAATTTCAGAGAGAGCCTGCCTGGACTAATGCCTGTGTGTTTGAAACTGATCACGAGTGTCTTGCACTGTAAACCCTCTCTCTGCCTGCATCGTGTACTCTCTGAAACTTTTCTGGAAGGTTATTATGATTTTCTGATATGAAAATTAAGATGTTTTCCTAACAGGAACACTGCTCTTTGAACTGGTGTACATTAGCAACAAAGTATTCCCGAGGTTTGATTATTTATTTATTTATTTATTTTGCCTCTGATGTGTCGGGATCAGTAGTTACACCGGTCGTTTTCACTTTACGCATAAGGCTTTGATTTAGTATATTTAAGTCTCAGCGGTTTTGAACGTATTTTTCAGCACACAAAGTCGGTTCAAGTCAGCATGTGAAAAGATGCACGTTGTAATGAGGAACAACTCTGTCGTGGTCTGCTCAATTTTTGTTTTCTTTTCTTAATGCTGTTCCAGGAAAATCACGTGCATTCAGAGAGTGGGTGCTAAATGCCAGCAGCCACATTAATGAAGAAAAAATGCTGTCGAAATACTTTGGAATAATAAATAGGATATGTAATGGTCAACCACAAGATAAAAATTTTACACAGTGTTTTTATGGCTCTAAATTGGCTGCATTGTAAACCAGGCTTACTACTCTATTAAGTCATCATACTTTTCAATTATTTAAGATTTCTAGCCAAGCTATCTAATATCGTCTTCATTGTGCATATCAGAAAATTATATATAAGGTTGTAATTCCTTGTTGTTAGTCTGTGAGGGCTTTGTTGCGGATCGGGGTTTAATTTTGACTTATCAGGACAAATATTACAAAGCATGCACGCAGGAAAATGATATGGAAATAGCCCCAGTCCTACGGAATGGGGATAGTTACAGCACTGAAATGTACCTAATACAATTTGAGATCCACTCACTAAGAAACCTTGACAGTATCTGCCTTCCAGGTACTGTGCATTTGGAAATACTATATCTCCATTTAAATGCAGATCTTCAGTTTTCTCCAGGGGGCAGTTGGCGAATCTTTCGATTGAACCACTAGTACTAGAAAAACTAACTGCAGATTTACCCATGAACAAGAGACCCTTTCAAGTCTGCCTGTTTGAAATAATGATTTTAAAATTTCCTAATATTGCAATTTTAGATTGATTTTAAATGCCTTTTCAGAAGTCACACAAAAGGAATGCTGTCTTTTCTCCAAGTAGCACAATGTTTGCACACTTATTTAGCAGCCTAAAGAGAGATAACATTACAAGCAAGTGCTTTGTTTTTGCATGGCTATTGTGTATGCATGTGAGTTTTGTCAAATGGACAGAGCAGTCTTGCTTTGATTTTGACCTAGATTCATCCCGATTCTTCCTATACAGCTAGTACCTGCTTATTTCCTGCTGTGAAAATAGGAGAACAACTGTTGATGCTATCTGGCAGGGGCTGCGTGGGCAATGGACACTCTACACTGGTGCTACGGTTAGAAGGGGGTGCAAGCAAATACTCCCTCTCATGTGATTTTTCATTCTTTTAGAGTCTGATTCAAAGGAAGACAGAAAAAAAAAATGGGTGTAGTGAGTTTTTTTCTTTCCATGTTGGGCAAGCACGTTTTGCATACTTGCACTGGTGAACAGGGCCATGTTTTATTTAAAACAAGTCCTAGGTCCATTATATTCTATAGTCACTCGAACCTCAGTGCCAGCAGGTGTCAGCCGTCCTTTGAGGGGCTTGTCCTACCCAGTCCAATATCCGTACTGTTTGCTAGGTATCTGGTTGGCAGTGTAGCCCAACCCCAGGACATGGGGAATGGGAACTACGTCTTGGAGTGAAGGCAGAACAAATGGCCTGGTGCAGGGGAGATAAAGGATCCTGGCCTTTTCCTGACCAGTACCAGGTGCTGCATGCATTCATTGCTCTCTCTCGTCCTGAGCATCTCTCAGGATTCTGCCCCTGTCCCTGTGCCAAGCTGCAGAGATAGCACCCATATTATGCTCACCTGTTAATGGCATATAACCCATTGGCTTCAGTACCCTGGAGAAATCACTCACTTCAGCCTCTGCGTGGATTTCGGGCAGATCTGGAAAGTTGAAGCTCATGTGCATTAATGGCAGAGGTCCCATTCAGCTTAATTGATGGTGCTATCAACATCTGCAGGTTTGCATTTCTGGTGGAAGCCACAATGGGATGGACTTCTTAAATGAGCGTTTTGCATACTGAGGTTGAAAGGAAAGTTGAGCCTGATACATTAACATTCTGTCCGTATCGTTCTTTTGACATCAGTTGAATTTCTGCAAATGGGCAGAAGTAGGCATGAGAAGGAGATTAGGAGACGAGCTCTTCACAGGCACATGCTTTTTGTTGGCATACCGATCAGTGAAGATGCTTCTTTGCTGAAAACCGTGTTCTAAGTCAAGTCTCGGCATGCACAAACCTGCACATGCATATACAAGCTGAGCAGGGCCTATCCTGTGTAACACAATTTTTGCCTTTAATATCTGAGTAAGATCTCATATTGTAACTCAACCATTAGGGGAAAAGAAAATGGAACTTTTCTCAAACAGCTTTTCTGTTGGGGAATCTAGTGGCAGTTGCTTTGAAGCATGTGTAATTGATTATCATACATTTATTTTAAAAAGGAGACATAACAAGGAATCTAACATGATGTTTTGGAATATATCTTCTCCCCACAATGTTCTTGAGGGAAATGTAAGGTTGCAGGCATCATTTCATGCCCTGTATGTTTTTGAACATAAATCAAAGAAATTGTTGGAGAGTTATAGATGTTCATAGCAACTGTAGCTATAATAAACACATGCAGTATATATTTTCCAAGCTATTTTGTATGGGTGAAAAGCTGAAGCTGGCGTTTTGTGTGAACAATTCAACTTAATCACTGAAAATTTATTTCCTAGTTAGCGTGGATTACCAGCGTAGCATGAAGTCGTACACCTTGGCTTAAGTACATCT